CCCTTTCTTTCTTTCTTTCTTTCTTTCTTTCTTTCTTTCTTTCTTTCTTTCATAAATTACTAGTTTTGGTAGTCTGTTGCTGATGCTTTGGGACGGCCTTTTCTTTCTTTTGGTGACAATCAATGGGTGTGTGCAGGGAGAGTTTAATTCAGGGAAGTCTTCGGTAATCAATGCGATTTTGGGAGAACGCTTTCTTCGGGAGGGAGTCATTCCAACAACGAATGAAATTACTCTCTTGAAGCACAGCAGTGACGGGAAGGAAGGCCGGCAGGAGCGATCAGAAAGGCATCCCGATGGGCATGTGCTGCGGTATCTCCCAGCCGATCTGCTGAAGCAGGCATGGATCGTCCTGTCCTAGATGTATATTTATCTTTATCTTTTTCTTTCTTCTTATCTTTATCTTTATCTTTTTCTTTTTCTTTTTCTTTTTCTTTATCTTTATCTTTATCTTTACCCAATTCTGAATTTGGACTATGTTAGCAATGGGTAAAGCAGCTAAAGCTAGTATCAAAAAAAAATAAAAAAAATCACTTGCCAGCAGGCATGGATCGCTCTGTCCCAGGCATAACAGTTATCGCTATCTTTATCTTTACCCAATTCCAGTGAATCGGTGAATGGATTAAAATTTTGGATTTAGATGTGGATAAGTTAGCAATGGGTAAAGCTACCGTCGTCGCCTGAATAGAACCCCGGGTCAGTAAAGCTGTATGTGGGGCAACTTTCAGTCCTGATGCAGTGATAATGACCGGGTGCTGTCCTCCTCCTACCTGTGTTTCTCTGAGCCCGATATTTTGATCTATGGGTGTTAAGTACCTATCTCAAGTACTGTAACAGTGCCTGCCACCTGCCACCTGCCACCTGCCACCTGCCACCTGCCACCTGCCACCTGCCACCAGGGGTAGCTAACCCAATGTAGGGTTGTCCAAATAAATGGACGAGGGGAAAAACTACATATCAGACTGATCCGTACTTAGTAATACTCACAAAAAGGAAGAAGAAGAAGAAGAAGAAGAAGGTACATTGCTAGCTGGCCATTCATGTTGGTAGATTTTGTCGATGTAGAGCCAGATCGATAGATTCGATACCCATGGTGCAAGTCTTGTCATACGACTTTCCCTAATAGGAAAATTTGTGAAACTACTGAACACAATTTTATGCAGTGTCTGAGTGCAGTCCTATTATGGCAAAGGTGGGATATCACCTGGAGGAGCCTAACTGGGATAGATTGGCTGTGGGAATGACATGCTATCCTGCTAGGATATTTGGAATCTATTAACTTCCAACTTTCGGATTTTCAGCGCAATCTGTTTACTATAGGCAGAAAGGCAGTATTATGGGCCCTTTGGTACAAGTGTTGCATCCTGGCAATAGAAAACGTTGCATTGTCGCTGAGATAATTGTGCATTTTATTCAGACTGAGATCAGAGCACAATGGGAAAAAACTAAGACTAAAATTCTGAAATTACATCAGAAGAAGGATATTAAAGATACAATTCAAAAGTTTGACTTGAACTGGCTGGGGGGGAACCCGAGGGAAGGGTCTGGGTAAGGTGGAATGGCCAGGTGGTGAAGGGATGGAAGAATCTCTCAAGAGAGACTTCCGCCTCTGCTTCTGGGACTGGTTTGGGCTACAGCCAGGGTCTTCCCTTAGATCTCCAAATTGTTTTGCAGATCCCTTTCCTCCTTCACAACTCGCTCTGGTGTATTTGCAGGGGTTTGGTAGATAGAGGAAGTGATTTTCAATCGCTTACACTTTTTTCTGAAGGGCAAGGTAGCTTGTTGTTTCAGATTGATCTGGCGGTCCAGTAAGGACTGAAGAGGCACCACTGCCCCCATTCATGGTCGCTGGGCCTAGCCTCTGGTTCAAGACGGACCTCAAAAATATCAAGGTTGCATGCATCCCTGAAGAGACCATTTCCGTGCGCTCCTCTTTGCAGACGACTTGACGATCATGGTCAAAAAAGCGAGCGTGTTAAAAATGGACGAGATTCAAAGGTTGATGGACCTCTTTTGCAGACTGTCCGATATGGCAGTCAATTCGGGACCACAAAACACTCGGCTGGTGGATGTACCACCAAGGTGGCTCAGGACCCCCGAGATCCCGCACATCACATGGCTCCCTCTGGTGGAATCGGTCTGCCAGTGGGTCTTTGGAGTGTCCTTGACAGTCCAAGGCAAGCCAACTGCGAACGGCGCATGGCTCATGGCCCTGGCCTGGGCCAAGCTATCCCACTGGAATGGGAAACATACCTCCCTGTTCAGTTGCGCTCTAGTTATCAACAATCTAGTATTGGTTGCCCTATGGTACAAATCGGTCTCGTGGCCGCTGAGTGAGCAAAAAAAAAAAAAAAAAAAAAAAAAAAAAGAGCCAGATGAGGCCCAGATCGATATGCAGAGCCAACACAACTGGTGACCTTGGCCATAACAGCCAGATGGCTTTACCACCACTGCAACCGTGACCCTGTGATCAGAAGTCATACCCGCCATGACATTCAGCCCGCCCCAGCGCGGTTGCAGCAAGGACTTACACGTCAGCGCTTGGCATCCAAGAGATCCTCTGCACGTGGCAACCAGCCTCCACACAGACACCACTGCCCAGGTAACCTCCCCTGTTAGGTTACTGCTCTCGTACACTGTTCGTAGATTTTGTCGATGTAGAGCCAGATTGATACCCGGAGCCAACGCAATGGAGTCGAATCGGCGACCTCAACCATATACCGTCTTCATGCGAATAGAACCCCCGGTCATTATCGCTGTATTCGGTGCAAGTTTCAGTCTACGTACAGTGATAATGACCGGGCGTTCTATTCGGGTGAAGACGATAGTCGTTCATGGCCTCCACTATCTAAATGTTTGTTAAACCTCGGTACTTAAAGGGATGTTTGTAATTTTTTTTTTTTATAATTAAAGGGGATGCTGGGCCTGGTTCCCAGCAGGCGATGCTCCCTCCCATCACCGGATTGGACCCGTCTAATTCAAAGGATCCCTCTACTGGAGGTTGCTCTTCGACCACCAGTACATCCGGCCCTCTTTTGTCGAAGGCGGATTCCCGCGGTACACCAAGCTTTGCCGAAACGCCAGCGTGACATTTTTGCTTTAGTTCTGGCTGGCGCCGCCAGCCATTCTAGTCCGGTTACCAGCCGGAGGGGGACGCCTCCGAACTTTTCACGAGTGACTTAATCGTGATTCTCAAGTTGGCTAGGGGCACGTACTGCTGGTTTAACACCCCAGCAGTAGTCGCCCCTCGGAGGATGTGTCTCTTGAAGAAAAAAGGAAAAAAAAGAAAGAAGACGGTAGTATCTAAACCCACTTGGGATGATTGACAGTGATTGCAATTATTGTTAATGGATGATCAATCAATCAACGGATTAAATTTGGATCTAGATGTGGATTAGTCGGCGAAGAATTCCCAAGCGTAAGCATAGTTACCCTTCTATACAAAAAAGGACTGCAAAAGAACGTCAGAAACTACAGAGTCTTGTACCACAGACCCATCTTGCTACTCACCCTGCACCACAAGATTGTTGCAAAAGCACGGTCTTTTGGGATCCGCAACCTCAGAGATAAATGTTATCATAATACCATATTAAGTATTATTAAGCAAGCTGGATTTGTCCCAGGCTGATAGATTTTAGACAATGTCATGACTATCAACAAAGCAACAAAGAACTTCGTGGAACAACGAATGAAAGTGGCCATCCCTCTTTGGTGGTGTTTCTGTCTGAATTGGATGGCTTACCTGTGGAAAAGGAACTGGACTGCTGCTCCCCAGAATAGAACGGAGATCATCAATAATACATGTGTCTGAACCATCAGCAGCCGCAGGACTGTACGCTGCGCTTTGTCGTCATGAGAGAGGAGACAGGCGTCACAAACTTTTTTTGTCATTGCAAATACCGGATCAGTGATGCATTCTTAACAGTTACAGATTTTGTAGACAAAGTAGACTGGTGCTAAGGACCGTACAAGAATTTTCAAGACAACGTATGAACTGACTCTGAAGAGAGATGTGTCCCTTTAAAAAAAAAAAACAAAAAAAAAACGAAGAAGAAAAGGAGAAAAGTTAGAAAATGGGTAAAGCTTGCATCAAACTCAGGAAGCCAAGACAAGGGAAAGAGAATATCCACCACTCTTATACACATCTAGATGTGTATAAGACAGCTCTTCCGCATGGCACACAGGCGAATGAATGAATGGCTGGA